AGCAGAAGACTATATCAGATTGTCCTATTCCTAAGCAAGCCTGCTGGCTAATTAGGAAAATATTGGAGGCAAGAAACTGGTTAGAGAATTATGGGAATCTTGCAACAATCCTAAGAAGCTTTGAATCACAAGAAAAGTTCAGCATCAAGAAAGCATGCAAATTCTTTACACCACAGTTTCAGAAAGTAGAATGGAAGCAAGCAGTACTGATCCAAAACATTATTCCCAGGCATTAATTTATTCTATGGCTAGCGATACAGAACAGATTGGCTACTGTGGGCATGCTAGAGAGATGGGGAATCCAAGTTGACAAAGGGTGTGTACTGTGCTCAACTGGAAGAGATGAAACATTGGAGCATATGTTATTTGAATGTTCTTACTCACAACATATGTGGAGTTCTATATTGGGCTGGCTAGGCATACAGAGAAGGATGGGGAACTGGCAGGAAGAAGTGCAATGGGTGGCAAGCAGAGTTAGCGCCAGACCATGGAAACACATATTGGGATTCCTCTTTGCAGCTACAGTCTATCATATATGGGGTGAAAGAAATGCTAGAATGTTTCAATTGAAGAAGCAAGAAGTCAGACAGAGAACAAGAGATATAGCTATACAGTTACATATTAAAGGTCAAAATAATTGTAAATGGAAAAGTGTATTAGATAGGTTGAATTGGTACCCAGTCTAGGCAAGTATAGAAATGTTTGTAAATATCGGAGAAAATGACTCAATAGTCCAAATGAGTTAGATGCATGTAAAGTCATTACTTGGTAAAATAAAAAACTTATTTTAACAAAAAAAAAGACCTAATTGAGTCAGGCTCGAAGAGTCAAACATGCTTCACTTGGTACCAACACACTCAACAACGTGCTTATGATTAAAAACAAGCTTTTTGGAAAGAAATAGCTCTAGTTAGTGACCTTCTGACTCTTGTGTTGACTTAAGCAATCATCGAGTGGTTTAGTCGAATCATAGTGATTTTCAATCTTGAATATGGTCGTTGTAGTCCTTCGACTCTATCCTCTTTAACAATCTTGTTGTGTGAGAGGCCAGATGTGTTTGTTGCAAGTCCAAGTACCTGTGCGAATGGTCTAGAACTTTCTCCGAATGTGTTTCGAGGCAAAATTTTAAGTTTTCCTTGGCTTGAGATGTGATTGTAAACTCTCTTGACCCACTTGAAATTTTACATGGCCCACCAATGTTATTATTCCTAGTCAACCCATTTGAGCTTAAAGCCTTCCTCATTTGATAACCATGTTACATGCCTTTACCCGTTTTGTTTTGACCCTCTCTTGACACCCGAGCTTTCCTTAACACTCTTGTGAAACAATTGGCGAAAACCATAAGTTTGGGGGAGAGACGAGGAATTTGAAAAAGGTATTAAGGCACAAAAAGAGAAAAGAAATGAAGAGAAGGAAAGGCAAAAAAAAAAAAGAAAGAACAAAAAGAGAAATGTAAAAAGAAAGTGAATAAGTTGAAGAGTTGAAGGGATTCAAAGAAAAGTAATAATGCAAAGCATGGAGAGAGCAAAGAAGGAGAAAATGAATATCATGACCAAGAAAGAGTGATGCTAAGTCTCTCTAGTTCCTCTATGGAAAAGAAAATGCCTCAAAGAGTTCGCAAAGCATGAGTCAATAAGAGAAAATGGAGTGCTTAAGGAAAGATGAACCCGTCCTATCATAACATATCCTACCTTATTCCAAAAGCCCTCATTGCATTCCGAAAAAGCCCTACGTGATTTCAATCTGAGTGAGCTTACATTAATGGTGATCTACATGAGGGGCAATCCTATGGTACTTAGAGCCGTACTTGCAAAATTCTTTTGAGAGAGATGAGCGAACCTTTCACAAATCTTTGAATTGGGTGCTACATTCTTAAGTGAGATATGCTAACGGAGAGTAGAGGAGGAGGAGGAGTTTGGGATCCACAATGACTGACATGAAAGAGCGATCGTCCTTGATGAATAAAGTCAACTCTTGATGCTCAAGTATCGCATTCAAACTATTTGTGCTTAAAAAGTTCAACTCGTTGCCTTGCTGATAATTCATAAGTATTGTGGGTAATTGTTGGCCCAATTGATGTGTGATTGAATCTTTGATTAGATGGAATAGCTCTTAACTTGTGGAGGTGGAAATTACCTTATTTGCTTGAGGACAAGCAAAAGCTTAAGTTTGGGGGAGTTGATAAGTGAGGATTTTGACTACTTGTTAGCGCCTTTTAGCTTTCGTTTTAGTCCAAAGTTTTTCCGAAAACTGATGAAATATGCTTAGTTGCGGGAATATTGGAAAACGAGCCCCCAAAATAAAATCCAACTCAAGAAGGAGTGATCTGAACTCAAGGACAAAAACAGGCATAGAAGCACAAAAGTGCGGACCGCAGATTGTGAAGAAACTCATATCAGAGACAAGTGCAAAGTGCGGTCCGCACATGACATGTGCCGCCGCAGAAACTAGGCAAGGGAAAAAGTTCAGAGAACCTGCATCTCAAGTTCAACAGAAGTGCCGACCGCAAAATTATTGTGCGACCGCAGTAACAATTGTGCGGTCCGCAGAAGTAATGTGCGGCTGCACTCAGAAATGTGCGGACCGCAGAAAGAGAGAAGTGCGGCCGCAGTTCAGAATTATGCGACCGCAAGTTTCCAATCCTGTCAGGCTGAAGCAAAGTGCGGACCGCGCATGGAATTGTGCAGCCGCAGAACCTCCGAAAGGGAATTTTTGTCTGAAAATTTCAGCCCTGTATAAATAAAAGAGTTTCACTTTTTTAGGTCAACTTTTGACATCAGCAGCTACAGTAGCCGTTTCTCCTTACTTCTTTTAGTAGTTTTTCATCTTTTGAGTTATTTTAACATGGATTTTGTTATTTTGAATTTACAATATGAGTTTAATTAGCATCTTTTCTTCTATTTCTTCAATTTCAAGCATGAGTAGCTAGACTTTTACTAGGGTTGTGATCCAACCCTAGTATGTAAACCTTATGGGTGTTTGATTTAGTGCTTGTTTATGGTTCGGTGTTTATTATTTAGCCTTGTTCATGCTTTAATTTGTGAAATTAATGGTTGCAAGCATTAGTTCATGCCTATTTGACTTAGTCTCTACTTGAGAGAGAGAGACTTAGTCTAGGAAAACTTGACTAACAAGAAATTGGGTCAATTGAGAAATTGATAATCCCAATTAAAGGGTTCAACCTAGAGATAGTAATAACCCGACTTGAGCTTTTACCAATCGTTTTGTGCAATACCCATTTGGACTTGAGAAAGTTAAATTGGGCAAAATTATTCTCTGACCGAGAGGTATTGAGTGGGTAATTGAGTGTTGATAACTATAATACACCCCGACCAACAAAACAAGTATTTAGGTTTATATCCCATTAGGCAAACACCTGGGTGATGGTCATAGCCCTAGGCATTTTACAAAACTTGAAAAACAACAAAAATAATTTCTTAGTTTCATTTCTTAATCTTGCAATCTTAGATTAGAATAGACATAGAACAAACACCAATTTGTGGGAGAGTAAATTGAGATAGTTCATACTCATACACTGCAATCTATACGCATATATCCCACGTATAGCTCCCTGTGGAATTCGAACCCGACTCTTTGGTGGATATTACTATTGCAATCGACCGTTTCATAACCTTGAATTTAGGTGTGAACTTGGACGAGATCACCTATATTACTCCTATTTCCGCATTTTTATAAACTTTGTTTCGTTATATCATGTTATTACTATTATGAATAAACGTTAAGTGTTAGGCTTACTTAGTTTTAGAAACTAGGTGTCATCACGACTCCTATGGGGATTTTGGATCGTGACATAAAGTTTCTGAAACTTTATCATTAAGAATAAAAAATTCTTAAAAGTCAAGAGAACCATTATTGTTAATACTATGTGAATAGGAACTCCAGAATGTAAAATTTTGCTTTACTTATCGAAATTTTAATGTTTAACTATGTACCAAATAGAAAGATATTTTCCTAAAGTATCTTTCAAGGATTCAAATTCAAGTTGACCATCTTAAAGATCAGTTAACTTGGAATAGAGAGTCAATCGATAAAAACGAATGAACGTAATAAGAAGAGTATGTTCAAATTGAAGAGAAAATATTAAAACTTAAACTATCATTAATGCATAAGAAAACTAATAAAACTTGTCGATAACAATAAGTAATGAAGTCACTGAAGCACTTCTCTGACTCTACTGGTCTAATGGCAACATTGAAAATTCAAATATATTTATGGCAGGAGTGGATGAAGCTACAAAGACAAGAATATTGAAAGTAACAGAATTCCCTATTGGGATCTTTTCCATAAGATACTTGGGACTACTATTCACACCAAAAAAAAAAAAAAAAAAAAAAACTTGGAGCGAGTGGGACTGTCATCAACTGATTGTCAAAATTACAGCAAAGATCCATGTAGTGTCCGCTAGAGACCTATCGTATGCAGGGACCTTGCAGGTTAGAAACTCATTGCTATTGTCATTACATAACTTTTGGGGGTCAGTGATCATGTGTAACGACCTGGCTGGTCGTTTTGAGTATTTTAGCCATGTTCCCTTATTTATTGCCTCCTTTATGTTCAATTATGGTTATGTGACTTGCCGGGGCAGTTGGTTTGGTTTCGGTTGAATTTCGGAGAGAATTGGGACACTTAGTCCCAAATTTGAAAGTTTAAGTTAAAAGAGTTGACCGGAGTTTGACTTTTATGTAGACGACTCCGGAATAGAGTTTTGATGGTTTTGATAGCTTCGTATGGTGATTTTGGACTTAGGCGTATGTCCGGATATTGATTTGGAGGTCTGTAGGTTGGTTTGAGGCTTTTTGGCGAAAGTTGGAAAGTTGAAGGTTTGGAAGGTTGATAGGTTTGACCGAGAGTTGACTTTATTGATATCGGGCTAGAATTGTGATTTCGGGAGTTGGTATAGGTCCGTTGTGTCAT